CTAGATGATGAAGAAATGAGTGGAAGGTGCAGTTTGCAGTGAGAAATAAGAGAAAATAGAATGCAAATGCAAGATGAATGTAAACATTATTGATTTTTGCATCAAAAGACAAGCAGTATTAATGAAAATGTTTATTATCTATAGGGCCATTCACTCTGAATTTGACACAATCGATCACTTATGTTGACATCTGTATTACACAGAGGTACAAGATACATTGAGGTCTCCATTAGAAAAATGACAAGGATTTGTGAATATATTCCCATCAATATTATATATTTATTTTTACAAGTTTTACAAGTTAAAAAGTTCATCAAAAAAAAAAAAAAAAATGAAAAGAAAAGAACGAATCATTTATTTTCCTTCATGTGGTTTTAAATTTTTTGAGTTTTAATCTCCTTTTTAAAAAATACTGGTTGATGACACCCATTGAAATCCATAGTAGGAAAAAAATACTACTAAAGTCAATGGGTGCCATCAACCAGCGTTGTTTTTTGTGTTCAACAGAAGTGATGATGACTAAAAAGAACATTACCTGCCTTTAAGAACATTAAATTTCAAATTAAGCATTTGCAAATCAGTATTTTTATTTATTTAGGAACTGGATTTTTGTTACATTAACTTTTATTAAAACCACATAAATCACTTATAATTTTTAATCCTGTAAACAATTACTCAATTACTTTATTGCAAACGCATGCACGTTTTGTTACTTATTATTTTCAAGTGTTTTGTAAAATGAATGGTGGAAACAAACAAATCATATGACCAATATTATTCTATTTTTAGTTTTTCATGTACATTCATTGTTAAATACAGAATTACATCAGAACATCTATATAGGTAAGTATGTAAACCCCAAACAGAGCTGGATTCTCATGTATGCAGTTGTTCAACTATGAATACTTTTTTGCTACTGAAGGTTGGATACTAATAAGGATAAACTCAGGACTCTGGTGTCAACATTATTTAATATATGCTGGTCGTTAAGTGCATGGTTATTACCATTGCATAGTATTTTTTATCTTGTCCACAAATATATACCACACTTGTTGATAGGCTAGCATTTCAACCTCAAATGTGACTTTCAACTGGATTGACACAACTGAAAGATTTAACTTTTTGTCTGCTTTTCACTACAAATTTCCATATAAATAAAGAATACAATTTATGTTAGGTACAGCTTCAAGTGTGAACTCATTTGTAAATATTTAAAGGTTGCACTGAACAATTATATTTAAAATGCCAGTTTTGGTCTAAAACATTGACCATTGACTTCTAATAATTTATAAAACATTTATTTTATTACACTAATACCATGTCAATGTGTAAATATTCCTAGTCTAAATTGACTTATTTATGTGGTGAATGACAAAGCCATCTTTAAATATTTTAATTAATCATTGATGGTGCTTTATGAAAAAAAAAAAAAACAGACAAAAGAAAACATTATTTTTAGAAAGGTTTAATATACATATAAGGTTCAAGCTGGGTGATATGCAGTGAGAGGTCCATACAAAAACAAAATTCCTAAATAGATAATTCAGTATGTGTACACCAAACAATTTCTATTATTAAATCGTTGGGAAAGGTTAAATACAAAGCATTTCTACAGCATCATTTTAGGACTAAACATTTTTAATACACAATGCATTATATTAGAATACAGTGCATAGGATAAGATACACACGACTAAAAAAATACAAAATATAAAGCTCTGTTGATAGCTGACATGCTAAAAAAAAAGCTTTTCTATTTAGAAACCGGGGAAGAAATCAACAGTTTTTTTTTCAACCCTTCATATAATACTTTCTTTTAGGACTAACATTCATAACTAGCATTCTGCACTTCAGGCTATGCTAAACCGTCAATTTTGCTCAGCTTCTGAGTCCTTTTATGTTCTCGAACTTCTGTTCTCTCTTGCCCTCTTGACTTCTTCCATTAGCTCTTTCAGGTACTGGATCTCCTTTGTAAGAGACTCAGCTTTTTCTGCCAGCTCTTGATTTCTCTCCTCGAGCACTGCACATTCTGACAGGAGCGTCTCTTGCTCTGCACGCTTTTTCTGTCTGTAGCGAGTTGCCGCAGTCTTGTTCTGTTCCATTTTCTTCAGCTTTTTCTTCTCAACCACAACCTTTGAGCCACTGGCTGACTTCACTCGTCCTGTAAGGGTAGGCGACTCTGACTGCTGATTTTTGGTGGTCTTAAAATCGTGGGAAAGGTAGGGCTTTGCTCTAGAAGAGCGGGACGGAGGACAGGATGGGGTTTTGGGTTCAGAGAAGGTTGGACTTGGGGAACTTTCCACAACCACCTCACCTGAATGGGTAGCCATTGCATTAACCTCCTCTTTGGGAGCAAGTACAAAAACAATGCGGGTCGGGGACAAAGAGAGGACAAATTTAGGAACCCGCAACTCTACAGGGGATGGACTCTGAACTTCTGCTATGTCCACCTCGCAACCAAGCTCAAGAGTGTCAGTAGGGGACTCAGGGGGAAGGACTGAAGGTGAAGGGACTGGAGAGGCTGGTTCAGACTTGATCTCAAACTCAGCCTGGGGCTCAGGGACCACCGAGGAGGAATCTAAGATTTCACAAGGGGATGGGGGAATGAGATGTGTAGTAACTGGAGTATTCAAAGTGAATGAAAGGTTGGAGAGTTGATCAATTTCAGGGACAGAGGCTGATGGAGAGGGTGAAGTATTGTCAGAAGCTACAGGCAGGGACTCCAGGTCAATCTGTGACTCCAGAGAAGCAATGAGCTCCTCAGGAGAACTGGGTGGATCCTCAGAATCATAAGAGTCTATCAAAGACTCCAGATCAAACTCACTCAGATCAATTCGTTCTGTCATCCAATCCATTCCACTAAACGAATGATCTGAAATAAAAAAATTAATTAATCTCACAACTGAATGCCATAAAATGCTTATGGAAAAGTATTTACAAAGAAATGATGTACGTTTTCAAATGTCTACACCTCACCTTCACCACTGTCTGTGCCACGATTATCTAGGCACAGCTCATCTGAGGGTAACCAGGGCAGAGACACCGGATCAAGCCCAGCCTTCTCCCCCCTCTGAGGGGAGGGAGGAGTACAAGGTGGGGAAAGAGAGGGAAGTGAAGAGGAAGAGAAAGATGAGAGGGGTGATTCAGCACCTCCAAGAGGAAGAACCTCTTCATCTTTATCTAGAATTGACCGCAGAGGGTCAGCCATCGGTGATGATGGGTCCCAGAGAAGGACCTCCATATCGTCCAGGCCAAACCGTGAGCTCATCAAAGACATGGCTGTCTATTTCAAGTGGAATCAGAGAATCTTCTACTGAGAATTCAAATAATTTCGTGCTGTCGGGTACAGCAAAGATCAGAGTTGCCACAAAGGACCTGTAAACAAAACAAAAAAAGTAGTTATTCTCTTATATAACATGACTTAAAAGAAAACTAAATAAACAGACTCTAGGAAAAGGCCCACAAGTTATTTCTGACTCATAATCACACCATCAGCCCACACCCTTCTCTACCCATATATGGGCATTTACCACGTGATGTTCTTTGTCACTTCCAGTCAGCAGACTAGCTTCCATTAATAAAAAAACAAATACAAATATACCCGAGTCAAGTCACGTTAGGCTACTCTTTTCATACAACACTAAAATTAGGTGAACACAAACATTTTTGGTAAAAACATAGTTCAACGTCCTATTGCTTTATTAAAATGGGCAAATCCGCCATTTCAGGGACTCGCCGCTCCCCTTTCAGGAACGTGCGCCATTTTATAACGAGCACGCAATAACAAAGAATAATAAATTAAACAGTCCCACTCAATTTAATTGAATTCACCATTATCTGAGAGATTTGACACTCATTTACTAAATAAAACATATACGTTAAAGTGGATTTTAAAGCAGAAATGACTATAAATTCATCGAATGATCTTGTCATTGTCAGGTTGACACATGGCGCGCTAAACCCGACTCCAGACGACATGTAATGACCCCATTTTCACAGAAACCATTTACCATGATCTATTATAAACATAATATGAATACATTGTTTGACAATCACGACTAAAATAAACTGGACACATTAATGCTTATTTGGCTGAACTTCTAACGCAACACTTCCGTCTCGCCGGCTACCAGACACGACGTAACATTTTAAAACAATCAAAAAAATTATACTTACGCCATTTTGATATAAATGTACTGAACCAGTGCACTATGTTGATGCACTGAGTTGTTTGCGCGCTGTCTACAGGCTGCAGTTCACACGGCCATTTCGGCGGAGAGCAGAATCGCTCGGCTTTCAACAACAATCAGCTTTGCAAGAGAACGGATCTGCCGGCGACGACGCGTTTCAAGTTTATATAGGACGCAGTACCACCCAGACATATCCTTCCGCCGGAGCGTTTCGTCTTGTGTTGTTGAGCACAGACAGCATATAGATCCATCACTTTTTATCAGTTTTGTATAATTTTGAGTTGGAAATTTAACCTTTAACAATTTTAGATCAGTTCAGAAATATTTTATGATTATTTTGTGATCTATTTTGAAGTCATTAAACTGACATGGCTTGGCATTAAGTGTATTGTGGTGTACTGTTTTGTCAAGTATGATAGATATCAAATAAATATCAACATTATATGTGTATATCGGTATCAATAAGTGACCAATAGATTTCGTGAGGACAAAGTCAAAACAAACACAAAAGCATGTATGAGTCATTTCAGGGAAGGTCGTCTGCAATTTCCGGAAAAAGTTGGTTTTATCGCCCTCTTCTGGTACAAAAACTAAAAACACGAGTTTTGCCTCGGAAATATTGTTTTGGAAAAACAAAAAAGGAAGATCGTTGTTCTTAGCGGTTGACAAAAATAATTAAAGGGATAAACTACTCGAGTAGAAACAAAGGAGAATTGGAAGCCACTTCCAGGAAGGTCAAGTTGTAGGTAATGTTTCTTAGGCTTTTACATAGAAAAATTCAAAAGAAAAAATACAGAATAAAAGATAAATCCACATCTTGAAAGCAATAATTTATTTTCTACAGAGGTATATTTGAAACAATGCATACATTTGTACAAAACTAAGTGTTTAATCACAGCTAAGCAAACTATTAAATTAGACATTGTGCAAATGTTTGACCATTTTATTAAACAAAAAGCAATTATAAACCCCCTCCATTTTCAGATTACATTTTATAAAATCTCTGTACAATAAATAGCAACCAAGATTAAAAATCTAAATGAAACCCGACACAGCAACACAAGAGGCTAAAATTGTGTATTATAGCAAGAGAGTTATTATTCAGAATATATATTTTGGTCTATTCAAGCAATGATGACACTTTGTTTTTATTTAGTTTTTCAAAGATACCAGCAATCTATGTTTAATATAATTACAGTATAAATTTGGAATAGACATTACTAAAAAACCTTTTAACATTGTAGCACAATGCTTGTAATAATTTTTTAATATGTTGAATCACAAGTGCTCTAGCTGCAACTGATTCACCATATAATATATAAGAAATAATCAAAGAATAACCACTATCATTACTGACATCTTGTGCTGCTATATGATTGGTTTGATTCCTTCTCTTTGCTAAACATTTGCTAAATGTCAGCCTTTCAAGGGTCGACCACAATGCAGTGGTGCTGTGTGTATCTGTGAAGAAACCTGATCTTTGGGTTTGTGCATGTCTTTGTTACCAAACATCAGTATAGATCAGTCATTAATTCAGCGATCCTGCTCTTGCTTCAGGCTCAGAGCTTCAGGCGATTGTAAACGGCAGAGGACGTCAATTGGAAGAGTGCTGGCCCTCTTGAGCTGCTTTACACACACATGCTAGTGTGTTTACACAGCGACTCTATTTTCCACTTTTATTGTTCTCATTAGCTGTCGTTTCGGCCTCAGGGAAAAGCTCAGGGTTTTCTGCTAGAGTAGAGCGGATTCGTTTCTTCTCTTTAAAGCGACCTGAATGCGAGACTTTCACATGTCGCCCCTTTGTTGCTGTTTTGTCCACAATGCGCTCCAAGCGGGCATTAAACTGGCTGTCTGTTGCAGCATCAGTGGTCCCAGATGCCTCTCCGCCATTGCTGCTGTGGTCTCCTGCGATTTCATACAGCACTTTTGGCTCCGATTTCTTTTTTCGCAGGAAGGTCAGTTTCCACCAGGCTGGGGCAGGTTCTGCGGTCGCCATTGTGTTAATGGCAGTTTCTGCGAAAAGGACAGAATGAGAGATATATCTGTGATTAAACACAAAAACAGCAGGCCTAAATAAGAAAGGGAACATGTTGCTTTTGTTTATTAGAAGACGGGTAATAAGAATAGTCATAAAGTGTAAACCGAGCTCTGAGAGTGTGAGCTAATGTTAATGTAAGATCTGTTTCTTATATTAGAAGGGACAGCCGCTAATGAATTTTTTAGTGTAATTCAATAAGCACCATATGGTAGAGGTATGCTAGGTTTTAACTTGTACAGATTCAGTTACAGGCCTCATGTTTCGCACACTGATCTGCAGCTATATGGCAGTAGGATGGAAATGCACAACGTAGTTCATGCTAATGCTAAGGAGCTTAGCTGCTACTTTTTATGTATTGGTTAATGGATCAATAATATTGGAATAATTTTGGATTATTATTAGCATTGGAATAATAAATATAATTAATGTTGTGAAATAATATGATTATTATCTAATTTATTCCTGTAGTGTTAAAGCAAAATTTTCAGCGTTATTACTCCAGTCTTCACACGATCCTTGAAAAAAATCTTTTTAATATGCAGATTTAATTATAAAGAAACAATTCTGATTGTGAATGTTTTTGTGTGTGTGTGTGTGTGTGTGTGTGTGTGTGTGTTTGTGTGTGTGTGTGTGTGTGTGTGTGTGTGACTAATGTTAAAAACAATTCATGTAAGCAGACTAGTTCTGGGGCTCCGACACTATTCAGCCCGTGACCCCTAAAATAACAATGCCAGTGACTCGCGACCCCCAAATTTCTCAGTTAAAAAATATACAAATGTTGCTCACACAAAAATAGGCTTACATAAACACCAACATATTGACAACACAAAAAGTGCAACAGTCTAACAACCATATCATTTTATATTCATTCATTAATTTGTTTAATTTAAGATTAACCTCAACTAATGAGAATGGTAGACACAGTGTTTTCTTGGTTTAATTGTAGAGACCGCCACTCGGAGATAGTCTTTTATGTTCAGTTGTGGCCTGTATTTATTTTTGATATATTTAATTGTCATGAAGGTGTCAGAAAGTTTAACCTGGTGCTATAAAATCAATGTGCTCCAGCTGATGCTTTTGCGGTGTTGTAAATCTAACGTAAACACACCAATCCTATGAAAAAAATAATTTAAAGGCTGATGGCTTTTTATTTGCATGTTGTTGATTTTTACTATTAACTATTGTTTGTATCTTCTGTGGGTTATGGTTAAAATATGCCAATACTAATAGTGTAATAAAATTTATTTGACTTCTGGAAATCACCAAGCGACCCCCTGTCAATGTCCCACAACCCCCACTTTGGGAACCACCAGACTAGTTTATGCATTCATTAAAGAGGCCTTATTTTAATGTGTTACTATTTTTCTTTTTTACAGTTCATACTGCACACATACTGTAACTGGGCCTGTATTTACACTAAAATCAGCATCATTTTGTTAAATGGATCCAACAATATGGCAAACTTTTAAAAACCCAACTTTATATACGTTTGTAAAACTTCCTCCATGCAGTCCTTGACTGAACAAACTCATTGTGACAACTGAGATTTGTGCCAGGCTTACTGTACTATATAACCCAACAAACAATTTTTTTGTTTAATCGACATCTAAACGTAGACAGCTTGGCTAAAACAAGACTAAACTGAAAATCTAATAGACAATAGCTCAAAACTAGACTAGTCGTCAAATAGACAGAATCGACAGACTATAAGTGCAGTCATTCATTTCTGTTTTTTGATGACTAGTCTAGATTTGGCCTATTCTTATACGTTGATTTTCTCAGACAGCGCAAATTCAACCTTGTTTTAGCCAAGACAACTATGTTTAGACATCTATTAGACATCTTTTGAAAGCAAAAAGTGCTTGCTGGGAAGGAGAGATTTACTTAACACCAGAGCGTGCAATCCTATAAAAGTGCTGATAGAAGAGTTCTGTGAATATTCTAAAGATGCAGAAATAAAAGAAACACAAAGACACAACAAATCAGTTTCATGATGTCTAATGCAGTGCATAAACCAGCAAATTAGGCACTGATAAAGAGTTAATGACAATAGGTGTGTGTAACCTACCATTAACACAGGCAGGGAATGAGTTACAACTTTCTATTTTGAGATGTAAAATAATGAAATGAATACCAGTAAACTCAAATTACCTCAAAACCTAGAAAATTATGTGGCATGAGTATATCCTGTTGTTTCTAAATAGGAAATTTCTACAAATGCACACAAAATTCCCTGTGCCCATCACTAATGTTTTACCGTCAAATGTTTTTTACATAATTTTCACTGGTACAAATGCTTTGTAAATCTTAGACTTTACTTATCGGGACAAATGGATTGTTTTTGTTGGTGTTGAAGCTTTGCTCACAGCAAATGGACTTTACATGACTCACTCATTTATGTGATTTTAGGCAGTCCATTTTTATGTTAAGAGTTCACAGTCCAGAGAGCGTGCACGGTTCATCCACAAGCTACAATGGCTTCTTTGAAGTAAACCATTACAATAAAGCAAGCACGCCTTTGACATACACAGCGAAACACTGTCCAGATGAAACTTCCTCTGGTATTGTGAGGTTTGCCACATGCTTATTCACACAAAGACAACAATACACAAATACTCAGAACTAGAATGTGATACCCTGGAACATTTTTATTGCTTTTCTGTCCTTGATTGTATCTCTCTCGAAACTGAGGCGGCCTTTTGTGAAAAGTGAAAATAAAGTCGCACACTCAAATTCACACTAAACTGCTGTAGCGTGTGGCACGATCCATTTACAGGAAAGGCTTGGCTCTGTTGCTTAGCAACAAAGTGGTCATTTTCATACAGTATGCTAATTTCTGTTCGCTCTCTCATGGCTTTGACTCTTGCTCTTGCTTTTATGTTTACGAGAGCAAACAGAGATCAGGTGGTGCCGGCCAGCTCCCTTTCACAGCTTTGTTTTTTCACCGCTTTAAACCTTTTAAAAAGAAGACCTTTAATCCAGATGGTTTTAATAATAAACCTTGTTGTATTGCCTCTATATTTGAAAAGTTACAAGTATGCATATTGTAAAAGTATTTGGCAAGGCGGTTAAAAGGGTGATGGCAATGAAACCAGTTTGATTTTTGACTGTTTTTGCAGATTATTTAGCATTTGATCACATTTAAAGTGCAGTTCATAGATTTTGAGATATAAAGCTGTAATATTACGGCACTCAAATGGACTAATATAACATCAGTTTGTGCCATGGGAAGAATAGTCAGAACTGAGATAAGGAAGCACTTTGCATGCAAAGGAAAGCATCATGGCAAACCACATGGTCTTGCTGACAAACGCAATGCTGTTGTGTGTGTAGTTTTCATATGAAGATAAAAATATGATAAGGCTCAGGGAAATCATTGATCATGAGGAAAGGCTGGTTCTTTCCGGGAACATGTAAATGGTCAGCAGGAACATTCTGCTCATTATAAAAAAAAAAATCAGATTAACTATGATTATTTTGAAAAAAAAAACCTGATTGTGTCACTAAACAAAATGTCTGATTTGTCTTGTCACGCAAAGTACAGGCAATGTAGTTTCTCTAGAAATCACAACTTCTCTGTATCACAATAAAAAGAACACAAAGTACATTTAGTACAAAGTGCATTTCAACAAAAAGCTCTCATGAGAAATATTAATCTCGGCAGATTTCTCGATGAATTAATTATTCCTGTCGGTGGTTGGAAAAAAAACATCAGGTGTTAACTAAAGGCCCTTGGAGAGCTTCACTTCGGGAACAGTTGCTCTCTGAGGGACTTTAGGTACATACTGCGTAAAAGTAGCCAAGTGATAAGAACTGTGGTGTACAAAATAGTTTTAAGAAAACATTTACTTGTATTTAGCCCATTCTGTAGGCACAAAAAGTGCATGCGTTTAATTTACAGACTATTATAGGTTTTTCTTACATAGATTTTTGTGACAATTATACATCTATCTTTCTTATTAAGTTGTAAACAGAATACATTAAAAATCGAGGTTATTTATTTGAAGAACATTGAATGTTTTAAGATCCTTTAAACAGGAATCTGTTTTAGATGATTTATTTGTAAAAAACTAAACAAGTTATTTAAGTACTGAATTCTATATAAAATGTGTCCACCAAAGTGGGTTCTTAAATAACTACACCCTGGGATTTTGCACTCATGCCATTGAATAACCATTAAAGGAATGGTACATGTTCTTTAAGGAACCAATGATTCCAGAATAGAACTTACATATTTTTAATTTTTCTCATGAAATTTCTTTAGGGGTTTGAGGGGAATGGTTCTGCTTATGGCATTGCTGAAAACTCTTTTGGGAAATAAGTACACGCAAAATATATTAACCCAACATTGGGTAAGATATGACAAACCCAAAACCTTTATGTGAAAACTTTCAATGCATTTTGAAATTAGCCCAAACGTTGGCTTCATCTATATTTGACCCAATGCTGAGTTAATACAACCCATCATTTTTAGACTGAAAAAGAAAATTGGACTCAGGGTAAACTACAAAGAAAAAAATACATTGCTTAGTACTTCAGTGAAGTAGACGATTTGAAAATATCAAATAAATATTAAAGTGGTTTCAAATGTTGATTAAACATCAAACATCCACCCCTGACATAAAGTAAGTGTAAAGCTATTAAATGAATGTGATTAAATTATTTTACATTCATTTTGACAAACAAAATTAGAAATGTTTGAGCTAGCGAGATCTCTGGCCTTTGAGACTAATCTGAGCAGAGTTCTCTTTTCAAATTAGACATGTGATAACTGGAATTTAATAGTCCAGGAGAAACTAAACAAAAAAGGTTTTAATTTTCCTTTCCAGTGGGGAGAATGGAATATTTGTGTTTGAATACAAATATTCAAGCACATGGTAAACAAATCAAGAAGGCATTACACTCACTAACCTCTACTGCGTTTGCATGTAAATTCGTAACAATTTTACTTCCTTCACTTAAACGTCCTCAATAATGGAATCATTTATTTTACTTTATGAATATACCACTATTCTTTGGAAAAATGCTCATTTTAAATCAATTTCTTTTATTATCAATGCTAGAATATATTTAATTTAAATTCAAAGCAACAAATGGTCAAATAAGGATGCCTCCCAAATGTTTTTGTCAAGATGGTTAAGTAAATTCAACATCATTACAAAGGTGTTCATCGAGCATGCTGAACTTGTACTGTTGACACAACTGAAAGAAATGTTTTGCATTTCAAAGTGTTCACTTGATTGCAATGATACCCTCTCCCCACACACACACACACACACACACACACACACACACACACACACACACACACACACCGGCTCGCTAGTCAGTGATAAAGGTTCACTGTTTGCTATAAATGTGTAATCAAATGTGTCTTCTGTTCAAAGGTCATTAAAATTCACAGCTATCAGTATACCTTTTTTGTTCCAGAACTTCAAAACTATTTCCTTCTAATCAATTATTTTTAGGGTAGAACTTTTTATTCCCATTAAAAAGCATTCCCACTTTATCATTTTTATTCCTTTTAGAAGACTTTTATCTGTACACTTTAATCAGTATAATTATAAATTAACTAACTGCAACTGGATGTCATTCCACAGAATTTTCCAGACAGGTCATATCTAGTTATAAGTCTCTCTCACCTGTACAGGTAAAGGTACGTCCGTTGTGACAGTTGTTTGTTATCTGCCTTTGAGGGTTCACTATCCTTCAGTTCAGTTCTCAATCTGGTTGATGCCAGCAGGTGAGGTCATCGGCCTGTAGGACCCTCTTTATTCTTTGGATCTGAATTAGTTTCGGTGTATCTCTGGTCTCCTGCCTCTTCCCCGGTTTGGCTGTCCTGTCCTTCTCTCTGGCAAGCAGGTGTAGATTCACAGGTGCGCGACTCCTCCCTTCATGCAGCCACACACACTCCTCCCTCTGCTGCCTGAATAAACAGCTTTAGGACAATAGCTGAGAAGATTGGGTGTAGAAGATTCATGACGGAATCAGCTTTTGATATTGCATTAGCTAATATTTAAGAGGATATAAAAGTTAATGGGCTTTGGGGAGTGTAATCAGAAGTGATTGTGTGAACGGATTTTATGAGCAGGTGAATTTATGTAAATATACAAACAGATAGCAATAAATGTATGTTGAAACGTCATTTACTCACCATCGGGTCATCCAAGATGGAGGATTTTTTTTTTCAGATGTTCATCCAATATTTTAGAAATTGGTCCTCGTAAACAAAATAATTAGACAAAACCAGACAATAGATATAAGACTTAAATGTAATGATCAGTGAGGTCAAAAAGAAAAAAAAAACTTCTTGCATTATTGCATTTAATCTACAGCCTCAGCAAATGCCCGTTTCCTGTCACATAATGAAGCATATCAAACATTAGGAACCTCTAAAAACTCTTCCATAATGAAATAAAGCATAAATTATATTGCTAATATACAGCAGTTTCAAGGCTGCAAAGAGAACCACAAGAATCATTTTGATGGTCAATAGCCAGAGGCAAATAATGTCCAGTTCCACGCACAGGCTCATTGTTTTGCTTCAGAAGTTCTCAATGTATCGTTTAAAGCTAAGGGTATTAATTTAGCTTTGCTTGTAATTTTCATTTTTCACTTGTGTCAGTAACTGCTGACTAGCATTTTATGAGTCATCAAGGATGTTGGTTTTAGCTATAATTCTTCTTTAATGCTGTACTGAATTTAAATAGTTATCTACATCTTAATAGCCTGAAGGTAAGTAAATTAACAGCCATTTAAAAATGTTGGTAAACCATTACTTTAGGGCACACTTCCTGTCACATTTTTAGGCACATCTACTTAATCTGTTTTAGCATTACTTTCCAATTTGTAGATAATAATAAAGTTATAGACATTTATGTGTAAGTATATAAAATAACTAATTATTTACTTCTCTTGACATTAAACATTTGCTATCTACCTATCCATCTATCTATCTATCTATCTATCTATCTATAGTGGGTATGGAAAGTATTCAGACTCCCTTAATTTGTTCACTCTGTTATATTGCAGCCAATTGCTAAAACCATTTAAGTAATTTTTTTCCTCATTAATGTACATCCCATATTGACAAAAAACACAAGCCTTGTTGATATTTTTGCAGATTAATTAAAAAAGAAAAAACTGAGATATCACATGGTCTTAAATATTTAGACCCCTTGCTGTAACACTCATATACTAAACTCAAGTGCTGTCCATGAATAATTTTAGCAAATGGCTCCAATATAATAAAAAATGAAAAATTTAAGGGGGTCTGAATACTTTCCGTAAACTACTCCAGCCCGCTTTTGCTTTACTCATTTCAAATACAAAAAATATAAATACTGTACAGATATTCATAGATATTGCTTTCAATTGGCACAATTAAATTACAAATTTGAACTGATCAAAAAACTCTGTCAAATCTTTTTTTTTATAGAATGTCAACTCAAATTATTTATTTAGCTCTTTCAAAATTACCAAAACAAAACCAAAGTGCTTTAAGGAGAAAAGCCTTTACTGTATACCTGAAATTACTAATAAATATTAAAACTCAAATTAAAACACTATATATACATACATATATGTTACACTCACTGCAACCCCACAGAGATACCTGTTCAACTGCTTGTTAATGCAAATATCTAATTAGCCAATCACATGGCAGCAACTCATTGCATTTAGTCAAGCAGAATGAAACAGTTAAGACATCAGCATAGAAAAGAAGGACCATAAACTGACAGGGTTATTGAAATTTTGGAAACTGCTTATCTACTGGATTGGCCAGACTGGTTCAAGCTGATAAAGGCAACAGTGACGCAAATCACTTGTTACAGTCGATGTCTAATGTACAACATGATGAATCTTGAAGCAGATCAGCTAATGGAGCAGAAGACAGCTAAGAACCAGAGACTGAGGCAATAATTCACAACGGCTTACCAGAATCAAGCAACAGAACAATGGAAAAAAAGGTTTTCTGGTCTAGTTGTTAATTTCTGCTATGATATTCAGTAGAATAGGTCAGACTGGTGTTAATAACATGAAAGCATGAATTCATCCAGTCTTTTCTCAACAGCCCAGGTATAATAGTGTGAGTATAACGACACACTTTGGACCACTTATGCCTAATTTCCATTCATAAGTGTGATTTAGTTCAGAACAGTAGTTTAGCATGGGTCACTTTCATCAGCTTTATGTTTCCACTCCCATTAATAGTCCATTAACTGTACTCTTACCCAGTAGTTGTGGTGTATGTCAGAAAGTTGTGATTAATGTCATTCTCACTTAAAGAAGAAAGCTATATGGTCGTTCACATATCACGTTTTCTGCCAACTCACTATTTCACATGTAGACACGTGGCAAGCATGCACAAATAAAGAGAGAAAGCTGCAACATGAACAGCCCGGTAAACGACAATAAAGGACAGCTTCTTGCTTCTTGACATAAGGCTCTTTGTTAGAAGATGACAACAAGATTTGCTTGAAAATGGTTCACTGCTGCACATAATCATTGTAATATTACATTTACATTTAGTCATTTAACAGATGTTTTTGTCTAAAGTGACACAATTATAGAGAGGTGCTCAGCGATTCAACAAGAAGAGGCAAGTGCAATTTTTACTTACACACAAGAAGTTAATTAAACAATTAAACAAAGGAACTGTTAGTGCTCAGAAAATTAAGTGCTAAAGTAAGGACTAGCTTATTTTATTTTAAAGAGAGAAGAGCGTCTCTACAGGTGGTTTGTCAAGCCCTTGCACCTGTGTGAAGCACACTTCATAAATGCACAATGTTCTTTTTAATAGATAAGCGATTTAAAAAAAAAAAAAAAAAAGTGTCTGGTGCAAATGTGCAAAACTGGTGCAACCGTCGATTAAAGTGTCAAAGAGAGATTACAACAGTTGGTTTGTCAAAGCCCCTCACACCATTAAGATGTCGTGTTTCAACTGTGCATTAAAAATAGTGATTTTTTGTTGTCTTTCTCCTGGATTGTTACTTGCGCTCGTGACAATTCTCTCTAAACCAATACTGTTGAGCAGCAAGTCTAGCTCCATCTTTTTGGAACCCGTACTGCTGTGCTAGCTACCCTTAAAAAATGGTGCCAAAAAAGTTTGCTTTTTTGGAACCTTTGACAGTGGAAATTAAAATAATCGTGTGCCATACTGTATGGTACTAAACATGGAATAATGATTTAGTAGATCAGTTTTTTTTTTCAGCCCTGTTCCTGGAGGCACACCAACAGAACATATTTTGGATGTCTCCCTTATCTGAACTATTAATTTCAGGTTTTGGAGTCCTTTCTAATGTTTGCATGAGTTGATTCAGGTGTGTTTGATTAGGAAGAGGTTGAAAATGTACAGTATACTGCTGGTGTGCCATCAGGAACAGGGTTAGAAAACACTGTGGTAGAGTACCATTTAATCTATTTAAAGCCACTCAGTGGAAACATATCAGCTGAGCATAGTTTAAACACCATAACCTGAAGATTATTGTTTATGACACTGTTCATTCTTTACGACCAAAGTGTTATAAAATCCTATTATGCTACTTAAAACAGGATAAGACACCATATCAAAATCAAATCAAGATCAAGATTAAATCTCTAGTGTCTTGAGCATGACAGTAACTGGGTTTCCATCACCATGTGTTAATGCTCATTCTGAAGCACACACTCAGAAATAAAGATACAAAATCTGTCACTGGGGTGGTACCTTTTCAAAAGGTACAGGTGAACATTAGTACATTTAGGGTACACTTTTAAACTTTTAAGGTTCACTTTTTGTAACTTTAAGGTACTGTGTGGTACACATTTGTACTTTTTAGGGATTGAAATGTACCTTTAAAGACCTGTTAGAAACAAAAGTGTGCTTATTGAAAAGGTACCTGCCCAGTGACAGATTTTGTACCATTATTGAGAGTGTACTGTGAGAGAAAAGAGTGGAAATGGCAAATAAAAAAAATACATAATTTGCAAAAAAAAGTTTTTACAGTTCATTGAGGTTGATTTAGACTGTTGTAAAAACCAATAAAGATGCAAATAAAGAAAGATGGAAACGCATTTGCTGAAAACACTTCAACATACCAAATATTACACCCACAGGTCTAATCAGGTGTCGGTGCTTATGGTGTCTTTCTGGTGCAATTGGACCAATAATGCTTGACAATATTTCAAAGGTGCCCTCTGACATTCTGAAATGTCGTAGCCACAGTCTACTATGTATGGTCACTATAACCTTTCTGTATGTATAGTGGTCAACTTAATGTCCTTGTGACAGGGCACTCATCAAAAATTCTCCATTTCTTCTTCTGTGGCAGTTAACAGCATTATTTCAGAAATTGCGAGCTACACTGCCAGGACATTTATAACCTGTCTCCCAATATGCTTAGTTTACTGTTGGTTACTACATTACCAGTAAACTACAGTCAGCTGCTCTAACAACTTGATATGAACACACATAATTTAAATGTAAGATTTTTTTTAGGATGGACATATCACTGTACTCAATGACCTCCTCAGTCATTTCAATCCAGGGGAGCACCTTTGGGATGTCCTGGAATGGAAAATTTAAACCATAGATCTGTAACCGACAGATCTGCAATAACTGTGTCATGTGTCAATATGGAGAAAGAAAGTTTCCAACGCCTTGTTGAGTCTACACCACAAATAATTAAAGCAGTTCTATAAGCAAAAGAGGGGCTAACCCAGAACTAGTAACTTGTACCTAATAAAGTGGCCAGTGAGTGTACATGGTGGGCCATTTATATGGATGATACACCTCAATAAACGTATTGGGAATTTCACAAGAAAAACAATGGTGCGCTTGGTTTCAAACGTAA